GGAAACCGGACGTATTACTGTACAATAGCGTCGATCAACAATTTGACAGCACATGGCCTGTCAATGCAGTAGTTTACCAGTACGTACACATTCATTTTTAAAAAATTCGTAAAAACCGCACTTTTAGTACCGGAAATGTTACCTGGATACCACCAGCCGTAATTAGGTCAAGTTGCAGTATTGACATCGCTTATTTTCCCTTCGATTCTCAGGTAAACTTGTACCAAAAAGGGACTAAGTTCAACGAAGAAATGTCAATTTTAGCACTGTACTATGAAGTTTGGATCTTGGACATACTCAGGATTCTTCACTGATTTGCGCAATGCTTCAGTTTCTGTAGGCACATATCAACCAAATGGAGAATGGGAGCTGTTAGGTACTTTTTTACCAAACGTTGGAATGAGCACCGCCTTTTCTTCGAATTAAAATGCACCAAGAGCAAATTCTTTGCATCAAACTACTAGGATGATCGGATAAGTTCATCCCATTATTTCAAATTTCAAATGTTCTAATGGACAGTTTTAGCAGCATTCTGCATACCATTCACAATGGCCTTGCTCTACAAAACTTTGCAGTTAGGTTGCTCAACACACTCAGTAATGTTGAACTAGAAGTGATTGTAGGTATTTCTAGATGACAAAAAGTTCAACCGACATTTAATTTTTCTACATTGTAAGGACCTCAAAATTCATTGTGACGCTACCAAGTGGGTAAATTGACTATGCTATTTACGAGTACATAGCAATTCTACATAGCACGACAAATTACGGTAGCTAATCTATATTGGGTCAAATTCACTGGTTTGCCAAAAGGTGGTTCATGGAGGTTAATTGACATGCTGATCACGAAACTCATTCCATTCCTCATTGTAAAGCAGTTTGCGCAGTGACAAATCACCTATTTTCTTTTACAATCAATCAAATATTTAACCTTACATTGTGCACTCACCTTGATTTTACAATGAGGGCTAATGAGATGTAAGTAGCGATTTTATAAGTAGCATCTCAATTATCCCCACTAGACAATATTCCGGGCAATACATGTGATTTTAAACACTGTAAAATATACCTATCTTATCCTTCATTAAGGCCTATCGTAGGGTATGGATATAATTTTCGTAATTAGTATATCCGACTACCCAAAAAGGTGGTATTAGAGCAATTTTCATACTTGTTGCCCCAAAAAAAGTAAGCTCTCAGCTAAACTCTTTCTGGTCTTCTAAATTTGATTTCAACTACGTTTAAATTAACAGCTGAAGTCACTTGAAAAGCCAAGTATACCTCTTGTAGAGGAACTTCATCTTTTCTTTCGAAGCTAGCTTGAGCAGTTGTAGCAGAAGCTGAGAATTAA